TCTACACTTACTGGCAGGGAACATGGCCAGCTCTACCTGGAAATGCAGGATTTGAACCCAGGACCGTCTTGACTGCGAAGCGGGTGCTGTGCAACTCAACTACAACTCTTCCAACAAATGCATCCTAATCTTTTTTTAAGAAGACGGCAGAAAGCTCAGTCTACTGAGTATTGTAATAAGCAATGGAGCTAGTCTTGAAACGAGACCAAAACCTGAGGCTTAACCACAGTTCCAAAGTTCTCTCATACACTCTAAATTTGTTTTATATATATTATCTGTCAACATCCAAATATTTGGTCAAGTAGCTGCATGTGTGCCTAACAGGGAGCCTTTGGGCTTGCATTAATTCGGATCTGTGGTAGTTTTGTTATTTTATTCCTGCATTGCGGGGGTTGGACTAGAGGACCCTTGGGTGTCCCAAATCTGCGATTCTAGGAAATGAGATGATCCAGCACAATTCTGGCATCATATGAAGCTGAAATTGCTTGTTGCCCTGCCCTATTGTTGCATTTTTAAAGGGAGATGCCAGCGACTGAACTGGAGGTGTTCTGTTGGACTACAACTCCCATCATCCTCTGTTCCTAGGCCATGTTGACGGGCTCTAATGGGCACTGGAGTCCAATGTCAGCCAAACGTTCCCCATCCCTGATCTCCAAGGAGAGGAGACCTACGCCACACTGGGTGTTGCTGAACTCCCAACAGCACCACCAAGCTTCGCTGAGGATGATGGGAATTGTAGTCAAGCAACATCTGGACGGCTACCTGTATCATCCATCTGCCCATCATTAGGAGCAGGACCCCCTCTGGGTGCCCAAAAGGCTAAATGCCAGCCTTCGCCAACCAAGCACCCTATAGAAGTTTAGACTACAGCTCCCATCAGCCAGTGCAGCTGTATAACACTGTAGCTGATGGGATTTGGAGTCCAAAACCGAGCTTGGTGCCGCATCAGTTGCAATGGATGCATTCAAGAGTGAAGGCATTGGTGGCTTCTCAAAAATACATCAAATTATTTCAAACAGAGCATCTTACTTGGAATGCAGATTGCATTTTGGGTTATTTTCCAAGTCTCTCTTACCTCCCCGCCCCCTTATAATCTCATCCCCTGTCCTGCATTTCGTATATCTTATGTGAAAGGCAATTCATGAATGAAAATAATATTACATCCTGAGCATAATCAGAACAGCTTCTGGCTAGGCTGAATAAAAAAACAAAGAGGTCTCTTTTTAATAAATAAAAAAATAGAACCTGCTACATTTTCTTTCCCCTGAAGCAGAAGGTATAATGAGCTCTGAAATGTGGGTGTACTGAGATTATTATTTTTAATGAATATTTGACAGCTGGGGTTTTCGAGCAAGGTGCTGTTATTTTTGTAATAAATTCTTCCAGCAGAGAGGGATTCCCCCCCCACTCCTGAATTTTTACCTTGTTTGCGGGTTCGGTTTGTGTTCCTTTTTCAAGCCTTTGCCTAGCCAGTAGCTAGGTGAGATTTGGGGTGATTGCTTGTGAATTGCACCATTAGAGTATTGCAGCATTACATCTGCAAGGAAATGGGGTCTGCACATCAAACCTCCACAAAACAGGCTAGTATATAGAGCACATCTATACCAAACATTTGAAGCAGCCGCCTTTCCATACAGATGCCTGGAAACTGTAGTTCGTTAATGGTGCTGGACACTGTAACCCAGGGGTCAGCAAACTTTTTCAGCAGGGGGCCAGTCGACTGTCCCTCAGACCCTGTGGACTATATTTGGGGAGAGGGGGGAATGAACGAATTCCTATGCCCCACAAATAACCCAGAGATGCATTTTAAATAAAAGGACACATTCTACTCATGCAGAAGCACGCTGATTCCCGGACCGTCCGCGGGCCGGATTGAGAAGGTGATTGGGCCAGATCTGGCCCCCGGGCCTTAGTTTGCCTACCCATGCTGTAACCCAGGGGTCAGCAAACGTACCACGCCTCGGGCCGGTGTCTCCAGCGCCGATTGCGCGGTGGACCAGAGGGCAGGGGAGCACGTGCCCATATGTGTGTGCACACGCTATTTCCGGCACACTTCTGGGTTGGAGGAGCACCGGAAATAGCTTGTGCGCATGTGCACGGGCCTCCTCTGACCCGGATGTGCACTGGAAATAACGCTTGCGCATGCGCAAATAATGCTTGTGCATGTGCTCAAGCTATTTCCAGTGCTCCTCTGATCCGGAAGTGGGTAGCCGCGCAGCACAGCGCCGGTAAGAGCGGGCGGCGGCAGCGGGGGTCACCGCATGCTGGATAAACGAGTCCTTCAGGCCTTATCCGGCCCATGAGCCTTAGTTTGGGGACCTCTGCTGTAACCCCTTGAGGGGTGAACTACAGTTCCCAGGACTATTGGGGCAGTGGGAGCCGTGTGTTCAAATATATGGTGTGGATGTGTCAATAGAACAACTATGTTTCTGCATATGAACAAATTAGAATGGGAAGAACCTGAAATACTAATTTTTGGGAAGGGGGGGAATCAACCTGCATGAGTTGGTTTTTGGCACACACCTCCTGCAGTGATCTATTATGAAGCCACTATTCCATGTATATATCTTCTTATATGCATAAAAATGTAGGGTCCGCATCACCCAGCCCACAGTGGAGGATTTGTAGTGCAAGCCAAGATCTGCGTGATGACAGCCTTACAATATTATATATATAGGAAGATACATGCACATATACAGAGAATCAATTTAAAATGCTCTGTACAACCAGAGCAAAAGAACAGGCAGGTTGAATTCTCTTTCTAACAAATGAGCATTTAAAAGTAATACCAGTTTTAATGTGTTCCTTTTCATGTTGCAAAGTTGTTCTGTATAGCTATACTATTCTATTTTGCAGAATTTTGATGTTCCCTTCAACAATCCACCCATATTTAACAGACACCGATCTGGCTCTTTCAATATGTGTTTGCAAGTGACGATTACATGGGTGAATTTTTTCACTCTTTCGTTGTGGGTCTTCTTAGAGGGCGCCAGCGTTGAATGAACTGTGAACTGGCTTGTTGCCTCTCAGCCTCAGTTTTTCCCTGCTGCAAAATGGGCACAGCAGGTTCATTCGCTGCACCTACGTGCTGTGAGGATAAGCAGAAAGGAGGAGGGGGATAATAAATTATACCAGCAATCTGAGGATCCCCAATAGCTATGCCCCCCTCCCTTGTTCCAACTGGAAGCATTGGCAAAAACCAGCATCACATCTGAGCTTAATTCTACTGTTGATTAATGAAAGCAAGACTTTTCTGGGAACTGATCTTTGCCCGAGCAATGATGTCATTTCCAATATGTCCTCTGCAACCTAATTTTGGAAGAAGCTTTCCACTTATTCCGCGGCTCAGTCAAATCGCAGATCCGCAAAAAGTCCCACTGCTCCTTGGCAAGTTAGTTAATCTTTGCTATAAGCTAAGCATGGCTAAACATGAGCTGCTTGGTCAAAGCAGAACACCCCACCCAGTTTTGCTAAACTGGCGCTGCCTGATCAAAAAGCCCACTAAACTCTGCACAAGCCCCTTACCCTGTCCTCCAGTTCTTCAAGTTACTTAGGCTAAACTTTGCGAAACCTGAGCTGCTGGCTTCAGTTGACCTTCGCCAAACCTGAGCTGCTCAACAGATCTTGGATTGTTCATCGTAAAATTGAGAATGGGATGGCCAAGCCTGGGATCCCAGCAGAAGATTGTGGCTAGTAGCCAAAGCACACTGGCAAGGATCTGTAAGGCCCAAATCACATGATTCCATTCTGGCATTCCTAGTCCACTATGCATTTCTGATGCTATGATGCCACTTCAAACAAATTTCACCCATGGAGTCCTGGGTAGTGTAGTTAGCTCAGGGTGCTGAGAATCCTTAGGGTGCCCCCTATTCTCCCTCCCAGAGAATTTGCAATTCTCAAAGTGGTTGATTGGTTGTTAAACCACTCCAGGAATTGCTGTCGATTCTCAGTGCCCCAGCAAACTACACTTTGGGAGAAAAAGCCAAGAGCATTTAAAGCAGCATGACACTGCTTTATCTCTATAGTGCGGATTGGGCCCATGCCAGCCATTAAGGGCCACTCAAGGGAGGGGCTAGGGGAGGGTGCATGAAGAGTCCGTGTTGCTCCCATTGGCTCTTGAACTTGTCAATCATTGCTTAAGAACCTCTTTGGCAGCCTAGCCCAACACCTGCATTCGAACAGGAGGTGAGAAATGCTAGCAATCTGAGCCCAAACAATGCAATCTATTAATTATTATTATTAATAATAATTGCCAGGTTGCAGCCTGATTAGGCCAAAGGGCTCTGAGCTGTGCAGGAAACCCAACAGGTCATCGTAAGGAATAAATGCATTAAAATAAAACTGCCTGCGGAAAAGCGAAGGAAAGGCCCTATCAGAAATAGACCGAAAGCCTCCGAAATGTGAACATCTTAATCTGCCATTAACAGAGTCAGACCATGGGGCGTCCACCCCAGGCATCGTGGGGGAGTCTTGTGGCCCTCCCAGAAACTGCTGAACTCCCAGCTCAAAAGAACTCGAGATGAGTTTTTCAGCTGGTTGAGGACAAAGAGAGGCATCTAGTCTAGCCCCCTCTCCTCACCAGATGCCCCCAAAATGCAAGCAGCAGCATCTCTCCCCCTGACACACACCACCTCAAGGCCTCCAGCAACTGGGATTCAGAAGCGTGGCTGCTCTGACCGTGGACGCAGAGAGCACAGCTGTCCTGGCTCATAGCTACGGCTGGGTGATATATCAATATATCATCCAAAACCAGTTTGAAGTCCATCTCGTGATATCATGATGTGTTTGTGTGCTATGCAAAAATCACAATGTGGGACCAGCCAGCGCCTCTACATCGCTCCATCCTTATTTCAGACATTGTGACATATCTATGTATTGCAATGTTTAGCTGGTGATATCTATCACAATGTTGGAAACCAGATACTGCCCAGCCTCACTAGTAGCCCTCATTTGCCCTCTCCTCTTCCGCGAATTTGTTTCGAACCATCCAGATTGGTGCCCATCACTCCTGCCTCTTGGTCTGCAGCCCTGACCTCTGAAGAGGCCTTCCCTGCTCCCAGGAAAGAATGCCTCTTCTGAACAGAGACATTTGCCCATCTCTCGTTTGACACTGCTGAGGACACCCACGGCTTTCCTGGTGTTGCAGGACTCCAACTCCCATCCTCCTCCTTGACCACTGGCCCTGGGAATGCTGGGAGTTGGAGTCCTACGTGGAGGGGCTCAAAGACAACGGCCCTCCCAAGCCCTGGTGTCGCTGGAAAGGATTGGACCTCAGACTGCCTTCCTTTCAAAACTCTGTGTTTTGTCGCTGACCAACTGCATTCCCCCTTCCCTGACTGTTCTGCCATTCCAATATACGTTTCACTGGGATGGCACCTGGTGGCCGGAGAGTGCGCCAACTGATTGCTTGAAGTCCTTGCAGACCTGTTCCTATGCGCCCAGCCGCTGCTTGGCGAACCTACCGAGAACCAGCTTGCGGCGGTGAGATCTAGTGTGTCGGGGCCTGAACGTATGAACAAAGCAGCCTTATATATATATAACGGCTCTCTCCTGGGACTCGCTTGCTACTTGAGATCTTCAAAAAAACAAAAACTGGCATTGCCGCGAGTTGATCCTGGAAACGTCTGCATGCAAAGTGCAGGCTCGGCACGCCACCTGCCGCAGCCCCCTCTTGCAAAACGACTCCGGGAAACATGGCAGAGTCAAGAGCAAACCTTTTCCTTGCCCCCACAGCTGGCCACCCCAAGCTGTATCCCAGCAGCGCTCAAGCGCAGAAGTCCTCGTGCAGCCTTTCCGAAAGTGTTCCAGAGCTTGAGCATGCTGTCCGTCTCCACAACTGGCTGGAGCCGCCCCGCACTGCCAGCCGGCGAGAGGCGGCCCCCGCCCCTGGGCATCACCTGTCCTCGTTGCTCTCCTTGATCAAGGCCTTGAGGGCGGGGGGCAGGCGGGGTGCCTTGGGTGGTGGCCCCAGCGCCACCATCAGCTCGCTCTTGCGCACCAGGGCAGCCCGCAGCTGCTCGCGCATGTCCTCGATCTTGCTCTCCAGCTCCTTCAGCTCCTTCTCTTTGTCCTCCTTGCTGCCCTGCTGCGGATCCTGGCCGTTCATGCAGTGCCAGACGGGGGCCTCTCGCTCCTCATCCGAAGCCTCCTCCGGGGCGTTCTCGATGTTGAAGTGGACGCGCTTGTCCTCCTTCTTCACGGCTGCCCGGCGGAGGTTGTTCCAGCCTGGCTGGTTGGAGGGCGGCGGCGGCGGCAGGGGGACCTCTGGTTCCTCTTGGCTCTTTTGGATGTTGCACCTTTGGGGGGAGGCGGAGAGGAGAAAAGAGGGGGAATTGGCTTTCTTTATTCATTCATGCCCCACTTTTTCCTCCCAGGAGCTCAAGGCAGATTGTCCTGAACACAACAGCCCTGTATACGGAGGGCACAGCGGGAACATATAACAGAAGCACAGAACTGTAGAGCTGGAATAATAATACAGTGGTACCCCGCAAGACGAACGCCTCGCGAGACGAAAAACTCGCAAAACGAAAGGTTCTTTCGTTTTCGAGTTGCCTCGCAAGACGAATTTCCCTATGGGCTTGCTTCGCAAAACGAAGCTTGCCCCGGGGACAGCGGGTCTTCTCTTTTGAAGCAAGGGGCTGCGGGGAGATCGCTTCTCCCGGTGCTCCGAAGCGGGGTGGGGGGGGGGCGGGAAACCTGCCCCAGCCGCCGGGCTTCGTAGCGCTGCTGCGAAGCCGGGCGGGGGGGGGGGCGGGAACACCTTCTGAAGGCGGGCAGGGGGCGAAAGTCTTTGTCCCCCCTGCCTGCCTTCCCAGGGGCTTTTAAATCGCCCCGGACAGCGGAGAAGTCCTCTGCTGTCCCGGGGTGATTTTAAAATGCCGCCCGCCAGCATTTTAAGATCGCCCCGGACAGCGGAGAAGTCCTCCGCTGTCCCAGGGTTTTTTAAAATGCTGGGGGTGGGAAGAAAAGCCTTTGTCCCCCCCCCCCAGCCTTCAGAAGAGGTCCGGGGACAGTCTGTCCCCGGACCTGGTCTGAAGGTGGTTTCCCTAGGAACGCATTAATTGATTTTCAATGCATTCCTATGGGAAACCGTGCATCGCAAGACGAAAAAACCGCAAGACGAAGAGACTTGCGGAACGAATTAATTTCGTCTTGCGAGGCACCACTGTAATTAATTTTTAATAGATTATTGTATTTTAATATTATATTGAAAGCTGCCCAGAGTGGCTGGAGAAACCCAGCCAGATGGGCGGGGTATAAATAAATTATTATTATTATTATTATTATTATTATTATTATTATTATTATTATTATTATTTATACCCTGGCATATATAAAAACAAAATAAAATGTCAAACATTGAAAAACTTCCCAATACAGATGTCTTCTAAAAGTCAGATACAGTGGTGCCTCGGGTTAAGAACTTAATTCGTTCCGGAGGTCCGTTCTTAACCTGAAACTGTTCTTAACCTGAAGCACCACTTTAGCTAATGGGGCCTCCCACTGCTGCCGTGCAATTTCTGTTCCTCATCCTGAAGCAAAGTTCTTAACCCGAGGTACTATTTCTGGGTTAGCGGAGTCTGTAACCTGAAGCGTCTGTAACCCGAGGTACCAATGTATGTTCATGGCCGTGAGACTTTTACATGCGCTAATGTGGTGGAAGGACAAATCATGACCAACGATGGAAGAATGGCTATTGAAACTTATGGACTGAGCTGAGATGGCAAATGGACATGTTTAATCAGAGAAAAGTCATTGTTAACATTTGTTAAAGATTGGAAAGATTTTGCGTGAAAAAGAAATAATGACATTAGGATTCAAGGATTGAAGATCATGTTTGCTTATAGAAAATAGCTTTGTTGAGTGAATATTGTTTATATTTGTAGTGAATAGATGAAGCATCGGAAGTCCTTTCCTTTCTGAATTTTATTTCTCTCTCTTTTAACCTCTTTCTTTCTTTCTTTCTTTCTTTCTTTCTTTCTTTCTCCCCCCCCTCTTCCTTTCTCTCTCCCAACCCCTTTCTCATTATTGTATTTAGATCAAAGTCTTAAAAGGTAAAGGTACCCCTGCCCGTACGGGCCAGTCTTGACAGACTCTAGGGTTGTGCGCCCATCTCACTCTAGAGGCCGGGAGCCAGTGCTGTCCGGAGACACTTCCAGGTCACGTGGCCAGCGTGACGAAGCTGCATCTGGCGAGCCAGAGCTGCACACGGAAACGCCGTTTACCTTCCCGCTGGTAAGCGGTCCATATTTATCTACTTGCACCCAGGGGTGCTTTTGAACTGCTAGGTTGGCAGGCGCTGGGACCGAGCAACGGGAGCGCACCCCGCCGCGGGGATTCGAACCGCCGACCTTTCGATCGGCAAGCCCTAGGCACTGAGACTTTTACCCACAGCGCCACCCGCGTCCCTTAGATCAAAGTCTTAGTTTGGACAAAAAGAGAGAGGGAAAAGGCACAACAACCCTGTGAGGTAGGGAAGGCTGAGAAGCAGTAATTGCCCCCCTAGGTCTCCCAGTGAGCTTCATGTCCAATGGTGGGGGCACTGCTGGGTGGTTAAAGAGCTTGGTGCACAGGCTCCCAAAGGAAATTTGCATAAGATTTGCCTATGCCAATTTACATTTGCTTGTGCTGGTTTGCATATTTGCCCTTGCTAATTTGGGGGACGTTTGCATGACATTTGCCAATGCTAAGCTGCACAACGTTTCCCTGCGCTGTGTTGCATAACATTTGTCTGTACTAATTTGCATGATATTTGCATATGTTAATTTGCATGGCATTTGCATATGCTAGCTTATACGGAGCACCTGGTCAAATCCTGATGTGGAGTGGCTGCCTCTCCTACAGCAGGGGTGGCCAACTCCCAAGAGACTGCGATCTACTCACAGAATTAAAAACTCCCCCTTCGGCAGATTGTGCTACAATGGAGGACGGGCCAAGGGGGCTGGAATCTATTCTACCACCGCTAAGGAAAGGGAGCCAGCAATCTACCACGATCTACCAAAACCTCGCAGGGATCTATCAGTAGATCATGGACCTGTTGGACATCCCTGTCCTACAACAACAGCCTCCCCCTTCCTCCATCACTACACTTCCATCTTTCTTAGTGCCCCCTGAGAAAGTCCTGCATCAGATAGCATGACAACAGCCTTACAATTTTATGTATATAGGAAGAAAAGCCCAATGGCATAAACTCCTGCTTAGCACCTGATTAAATCTGGACGATGGAAGCCAAATTCTTTCCGGTTGCAAAATTTATCCCGAGATAAAGCAACAGAGTTCAGAGCAAGCAGCGAGTCCGAGTGCGGAATGTTTCCTTATTTACCTTTTCTCCAAATTCAGCTTTTTGTTCCTCTGCTCCTCCAAACCCATGTTCAGCGCCCGGTGGATTTTCTGGCATATATTAAAAACAAATTAAGAAAGTAATGGTGAGGCCTCAGATTGGCTAGATAACATCTAAATTGGCAAAAAAAACCACAGTGTCTCTGAGCATGTGAGGTGCATGCAGCTCCCACTGATACTCAGAAACATGGTTTCCTTGGGAATCCTCAGGTTTTCGCAGTTAAATGCTTTGCAACATGAGCAGAAAGCAGGAAAGTGGTCCAATCAGCATGCAACAGAACCACAGAGTTGGATGGGATCCCAGGAGGTCATCCATCCCAACCCACTGGTTGAAACCAGAAACACCTTGCAACGCCCCCCCTGCGAAGTAGCCTTCCCTTATTTGAATTTAAGCTGCAAATCCTATCAACAATGCAAGCTTGGGAACCGGTTCTTTTGAGACACAAAGAGCTGGCTGGTCTCTGGCGGGCGGGAATTATCTTCTTTGAAGACACACCTGGGAGGAATGCGGTGGGTGGATGAACCAGCCGCCCTCCATCCCATGCTTAAGAGAGGGGAACAGAAGAGGAGGCCGCCACCTGTGGATCGCTGTCCTGCATGGTCTTGCTTTGGCAAGTTTGGGAGGCGATCTCTTACCTGGCTGGTGTGAAGCCAGTAGTTGAACTTCTTCTTGCGTTTGATGCGAGGCAAGATGAGGCGGTAGAAGATGTGCTCTCCGAGGGAAGTCAGCAAAGAGCCACAGAGACCAATGCAAAGCAGGACAAAGAGACCCGAAAAGTGGTAGATGCCCATCTGCAGGGTCTGGGCAAGGAGAGAGAGGCAGAATGAGCACAGCTCAGAGCCCATACATACAGCGGGCACTCGCAGTGTTTGGAGGAGTGGGAATGCTGCCCACGACCCCAAGAACACCATCCCCACCATCAAACATGGAGGGGGACATATTATGCTTTGGGGGTGTTTTTCTGCTAAGGGGATAGGACACCTTCACTGCAACGAAGGGACGATGGACGAGATCGTGTATCGTCAAATCTTGGGTGAGCACCTCCTTCCCTCAGCCAGGGCATTGAAAATGGGTCGAGGATGGGTATTCCAACATGACAATGGCCCAAAACACACAAAGGTCAAGGCAACAAAGGAGTGGCTCAAGAAGAAGCACATTAATATTCTGGAGTGGCCTAGCCAGTCTCCAGACCTTAATCCCATCGAAAATCTGTGGAGGGAGCTGAAGGTGCGAGTAGCTACACATCAGTCTCGAAATCTTCCTGACTTGGAGAGGATCTGCAAAGAGGAGTGGGACAAAATATCTCCTGAGATGTGTGCAAACTTGGTGGCCACCGACAAGACACCTCTGACCTCTGTAATTGCCAACAAGGGTTTTGCCACCAAGTCATCTTTTGCAAAGGGATCAAATACTTATTTCACTCATTATAATGCACATCAATCTCTGACTTTTGTCTTCTGGGTTTCTGGGGTTTTTTCCTGTTGTTATTCTGTCTCTCGCAGCTACAATAAACCTACCATTAAAATTATGGACGGGTCATTTCTTCATCAGAGGGCAAACGGGCAAATTTAGCAGGGGATCAAATACTTCCCCCCCCCTCACTGTATCTATTATCATTCTATTTATGCCCCCCCCTTTTCCCCAAGGTGGCTCTTCCCCTCCTCATTTAATCCCCCCAACAACCCTGCGAGGCTGGCAAGGCCGATGGCGGTGACTGGCCCCAAAATAATAATAATAATAATAATAAGAAGAAGAAGAAGAAGAAGAAGAAGAAGAAGAAGAAGAAGAAGAAGAAGAAGAAGAAGAAGGCGGCCACCCCTTGCAAGCTTCACTGCCAAGCGGGGATTTGAACCCAGGTCCTTTAAAAAAAAATTATTCATTTTTCTTTTTCATTCATTACACACATCTCAAATTCTTAACATTTACTATATATCCCTCCCTCCCTCCCCTCCAGGGCTTCCCCCAACTTCCGCTTCTGGTTTCTTTCTCCTTTCACCCACTTTGCTGCCTCCTAAAAGAAAAAGTTACTAATAACATATTTATACAATAACATCAAACCTAAAAACATAAAAATGAGTACACCATATTATTTCTCTATCTTCTACACATTTTCTAACACTAACAATGTGAATGTTCATTTAAATTCTGTTGTCAAGTCTATAGACTTTCTTTGTTTCTGCAAGTATAATGGAAATGGTTCCCATTCTTTTTCACTGTTGTCTTTTTCTCTTAGTCTGTCTGCCATTTTTGCCAGTTCTGCATAGTTCATCAACTTCTCTTGCCATTGTTCTTTAGTTGGTATTTCTCCAGTCTTCCAATTTTGTGCAATCGGCATTCTCGCAGCTGTAGTGGCATACATAAATAGAATCCTCTTTTCTTTCGGTATATCTTGGCCTAAAATACCTAGTAGGAAGGTTTCTGTGAACCCAGGTCCTAGTCTGATACTCTAACCCAGGGTTTCCCAAACTTGAGTCTCCAGCTCTTTTTTTGGACTACAACTCCCATCATCCCTAGCTAGCAGGACCCATGGTCGGGGGTGATGGGAATTGTAGTCCAAAAACAGCTGGAGACCCAAGGGACCACAGACCCTGGGCGATTGCCTGGAAACCCCTTGAGTCTTGCAGAGAGTGGGGGCTGGCACCCAACTTTTGCAACAATGCACAATTGTCCTTTAATTGTGTGCTCTGCAACCCCCCCCTTTCCCCAGCCCCCCCCGTACCTCGGTGACAGCAAAGACCCGCTTTCCACAGGGGACCATCTTGTACCATTTGTCATGGAGAAGGTCCATGAAGCCGGACGATTTGTAGCGGCTGATGAACTCCGAGATGTTGGAGGTTAGGGGCGAGTTCTGGGGAAGGCCGATCCCGTAGCCTGGAAGGTGGCAGAAACACAGACATTGTGGTGGTTCGGTGCAAAAAAAGAAATAAATAAAGGGTGTTGCTGGAGGAACACCAATCTGGGTTTCGAGCATGTGCAGAGTGCCTTCTGGTTCTAATATCAGTCAGATAAAAAAGGTAAAGGGGTAAAGGGACCCCTGACCATTAGGTCCAGTCGTGGCCGACTCTGGGGTTGTGGCGCTCATCTCACTTTATTGGCTGAGGGAGCTGGCGTACAGCTTCCGGGTCATGTGGCCAGCATGACTAAGCCGCTTCTGGCAAACCAGAGCAGTGCATGGAAACGCTGTTTACCTTCCCGCCGGAGTGGTACCTCTTTATCTACTTGCACTTGATGTGCTTTTGAACTGCTAGGTTGGCAGAAGCCGGGACCGAGCAACGGGAGCTCACCCCATCGCGGGGATTCGAACCGCCGACCTTCTGATCGATAAGTCCTAGGCTCAGTGGTTTAAATAACTAATTTAGCCAGCTAGCCCTGGTGATCATCTAATGTTTATTGGATGGATTTCCCCCCTAAATTGATTTTTGAATTCCAAATTTATTGTTATTCACGTTTTATACTGTATTTTATGCTATTTTTTTGTTGCATCAATTAAGTGTTTTAAATTTGTTGTTAGCCGCCCTGAGCCTGGTTTTCTGAACCGGGAAGGGGGGGAATAAATATTTTTATTATTATTATTATTTATTATTGGAGGGGGTTGGACTAGATGACCCTGGGGGTCCCCTTCCAACTCTACCATTCTATGATTCTACAAGTGTAGTCTGACCACAGATGGATATAAATGGCGTTACGGCACTGGCATATCCTAGTGGGTGGGCGGATGGATAAATAAGTCGATATGGACCGACAAGACAAATCTATTCAACCTTCCTATTGTTGCTGATGCAAATTTGCACCTTAATGTAACTGATCCGTGGAAAGAACTCTATGAACTGAAAGCAGAGACACTGTATTTACTTAGGTAACTCAAGGAAATCTTTAATAAGAACAAATTTTCCCCAAACCCATTCTCGTTTTTGTTTTAATTGTTTTTATTAAAAGTTTTCCTTGGGTTACAAAAGTACATACAGAGCCTCTGCTTTCAGTTCATAAGAGTTCTTTCTACAGATCATTCATATTCAATATGAGACACTAATGTTATAAACAGTCTACAGTTGGGGAAGAAGGAGAATTGCAGCTTTGCTTTCTTGGGGGGGGGGGGGAGATTCTCTGACCTGTCAATCACTTCACCTTGGGGTCAAGGATATGCAGTCAACTCTCATTTAGGGTGGAATGTACAAACTGGTAAAAGATTTCTGGAGTTTAATCTTGGCAGAAACACTAAACATTACTGAAGAAGCTATTGTTTGCTGTTCAAAATTAAAAGTCACAGAATATTTTTGGCGATATATTGTCAAAACAATCAGTCTCCTCTTGACAGTCGTTGACAGCCACTCAATGGAAAACACCTCTCAATCTTACACTGGCCACTTGGTACCACTCACTCTGAATAGGGAGAAAATTATGCATGATTTGAGATTTTGACAAGGACTGGGACCTCCTGGCGCTTTTAATGCAATTTGGCACTCCTTTACGCCATATAAAGCATCATTTTCACGGCAGCCCACATCACGAGCCTTGCAAATAGATAATCTGATAAAACTTATATTCTCAACTTAGATTTTGTTATTTGAACCCCTCTGTGACTGCACTCATTCTATCATTTTCATCTTTCAATTTTCACCTGTTCTCTCTGTTTGATATACCGTATTTTTTCTCTATAAGACTCACCTTTTCCCTCCTAAAAAGTAAGGGGAAATGTGTGTGCGTCTTATGGAGCGAATGCAGGCTGCGCAGCTATCCCAGAAGCCAGAACAGCAAGAGGGATCGCTGGTTTCGCTGCGCAGAGATCCCTCTTGCTGTTCTGGCTTCTGAGATTCAGAATATTTTTTTTCTTGTTTTCCTCCTCCAAAAACTAGGTGCGTCTTGTGGTCTGGTGCGTCTTATAGAGCGAAAAATACGGTACGTTATAAAATGAAATAAAGAATCTCCTACCTACCCACCCAGCCCCAGCAACCCCCCCCCAAAATATAAATCTGGCAGATGAGACTGGATCAATTATTGGGGAGTGGGAAGAAGTGTGGTGGTGGGGGGGGGCGAAAGAGAGAGAGAAATAATGGGTTCATTTGTATTCCGCTCGGCTCCCCAGTTTGCCGAAGAGCTAATGAGAAACGGAGAGATCAAAAAGCATTTCAGATGATGCTCCAGCGAGGGCAGCCTGGAAATAATTAGGGATGTCAAGAAGGAGCGAAAGCGTTAGGGGGTATCGGGTGCTCCCCACCCCCACCTCCGCACCCCATAAACCCAAAGAGGATTTGCAGCAAAGTTTGCAAGGCCGCCCCCTCCAGACCCCTGGCTGCTCCTGGGGCAGAGGGATGGGGAAACAGAATATTCCAGCGTGGGAAGAAGTGGAGAGGAAGTAAGAAACAAAAAATGAAACAGATTTTCATGCAGGAGCAGGGAGCTTCAGTTGCAGGGAACGGCTCAGTAGAACCCCCAAATGCTAGGGACAAGGAGGTGCCAGACACAAACACTCCACCCAAACACACACACACACACACACACACACACACAAAACCCTGATTGTGAGTTCTACTCAGAGAAGACTCCTTGAAATTCGCAGACGTAGGGAGTCCCACTCAGAGGCAACCTATTGAAATGAAAAGGTGGTGACTCACTCCAGTCCACTGATTTAATGGGGGCTACTCTAGAACCTAGGGAAGCGGGTGGCGCTGTGGGTTAAAGCACAGAGCCTAGGACTTGCCGATCGGAAGGTCAGCGGTTCAAATCCCCGTGACGGGGTGAGCTCCCGTTGCTCAGTCCCAGCTCCTGCCCACCTAGCGGTTCGAAAGCACGCCAAAGTGCAAGTAGATAAATAGGTACCACTCCGGCGGGAAGGTAAACGGCGTTTCCGTGCGCTGCTCTGGTTCGCCAGAAGCGGCTTAGTCATGCTGGCCACATGACCCAGAAGCTGTACGCCGGCTCCCTCGGCCAGTAAAGCGAGATGAGCGCCGCAACCCCAGAGTCGGCCACGACTGGACCTAATGGTCAGGGGTCCTTTACCAGTACCTTTACTCTAGAACTTATTAAGGTTCAGTTCAACTCACAGCACCACGGAGTGGGAGAGTTTGAGGAGATCCCTTTCACTGGAGGCTTTAAAGCAGAGGTTGGGTGCCCACCTGTTGGGGATGCTGTAGCTGTGATTCCTGTATTGCAGGGGGTTGGACTAGATGACCCTTGGTGGCCCCTCCCAACTCTACCATTCTATGATTCTACGCATCTCCACAGTCTTGCTTCTCTGTTTCCCATAATGCTGGAGTAGACAGACCATTGGTCTGATCCTGCAGGCTCTCCTAATGTTCTTATGAACCTTTTTCCCAAACTTAACGCCACATTCCCGATAGGTCACTCAGAAGAGCACATGGCCTTCAAGGGGGGGGGGAACCTTTCCCCTAAAGGACAGCTTGTGGGGGGTGGGTGAGACTGTGAAGTCTGCAGTCTCCAAAGGAGCCAACTGTGCCGCTGAGTCTTCCCGCCTCCCCCCCAAAGGAAAACAGTTGACCCCCGGAGAGGCATCTCTCATCTCCCGCACTTTAATATTTAACAGCCCCACTTAAAAGATTGATTGAGGTGACCCAGTTTCATTACGGCGAGATTGGGACTGCAATCGCCCCCCTCCCGCCCCCCTCTTTCTCTCCATCTCAAAACCCTTCCGCTACGCTTCCTCGCTAAATGAGCAGGGCTCGGGGAGCCATGAAAGAAAGTCCTTTGACGTTTCCCCCCAAACCTTCGATCGCAAAGGGTTTCCCGACGGTGAGGAGCTTGCAGTCGGAGTCGATGGACACCTCGTAATCGAGCAGAGACTTGTCCATGATGAAGGCGTTCAGCTTTGGAGGGTTGGTCCTGATGAGGAGAGACCCAAAACCCCGAGTTAATTAAAACAGATAGAGCTAAACCTGAAGGTTTTGCAAGCAGACACCATAAATTATGAGAGGTATGAATTGCCCAGTCTGAATTGCCCTTGAGCCATATAACCCAGTTCCGTTGCAGATCAACTGACCTCCATTTCATGGGGTTGAACTAGATGACCCTTGGGGTCCCTTCCGACTTTACAAGTCTATGTTTCCAGCTCCTTAGAGAACTGAGCTAAGCACTGAACAAATGATGGCAACGGCGCTGAGCCTCTGTTGCTCCAGCTTCAGCAAAGCAGCCATTCCTTTGCTGCAGCACTTTGGCAGGTCAGCAAGCCATGACCTTTGCTAAACCTGAGTTGTTGCATAGCTCAGGCCTAAGGTATTGCAAAGAGTATTGTTGGCCTCCATCAGTCTTGAGAGACAATGGACTGTGCCTCCAGGTGTGAAGTCAAACTGCCGCAGTGACCTGCCTGGGGTGCAAACCTGGCCAATGTGTCTGGGGGTCCTGGGCTGCCCAGGCAGCAAGACCCCCTCTTGGCCTTGCTGATGAGGTTCGAAGGAAAACAAGGAAGACGTGAGCAGTGACTACATTATTACATGAGCACTGTTCCACAGCATTTGATATTTTCATTTACATACATTCATTTGAAATAAGATAGGTTTATGAAGCAACTCTATATCCTCCCACCACGCTGACGAAGAATTCTACGAAACAGTAGTCAATGGATGATGGACTCAAGGGCATCCTGATCAAATTTGCAGATGACACCAAACTGGGAGGGGTGGCTAACACCCCAGAGGACAGGATCACACTTCAAAACGACCTTGACAGATTAGAGAACTGGGCCAAAACAAACAAGATGAATTTTAACAGGGAGAAATGTAAAGTATTGCACTTGGGCAAAAAAAATGAGAGGCACAAATACAAGATGGGTGACACCTGGCTTGAGAGCAGTACATGTGAAAAGGATCTAGGAGTCTTGGTTGACCACAAACTTGACATGAGCCAACAGTGTGACGCGGCAGCTAAAAAAGCCAATGCAATTCTGGGCCTCATCAATAGGAGTATAGCATCTAGATCAAGGGAAGTAATAGTGCCACTGTATTCTGCTCTGGTCAGACCTCACCTGGAGTACTGTGTCCAGTTCTGGGCACCACAGTTCAAGAAGGACACTGACAAACTGGAACGTGTCCAGAGGAGGGCAACCAAAATGGTCAAAGGCCTGGAAATGATGCCTTATGAGGAATGGCTAAGGGAGCTGGGCATGTTTAGCCTGGAGAAGAGGAGGTTAAGGGGTGATATGATAGCCATGTTCAAATATATAAAAGGATGTCACATAGAGGAGGGAGAAAGGCTGTTTTCTGCTGCTCCAGAGAAGCGGACACGGAGCAATGGATCCAAACTACAAGAAAGAAGATTCCACCTAAACATTAGGAAGAACTTCCTGACAGTAAGAGCTGTTCGACAGTGGAATTGGCTGCCAAGGAGTGTGGTGGAGTCTCCTTCTTTGGAGGTCTTTAAGCAGAGGCTTGACAACCATATGTCAGGAGTGCTCTGATGGTGTTTCCTGCTTGGCAGGGGGTTGGACTCGATGGCCCTTGTGCTCTCTTCCAACTCTATGATTCTATGATTCTATGATTCTATGATTCTATGATTCTAATATCCGGAATCACTGTTCAGTGTTGGACATCATATTGGCTGAATACACAAAGGTTCACAGCTTGTCTTTCATCGTACACAGTCTGGTACCTCGCTTCATTTAAAGATTTTCAGAGACTTTGAGACTAAAGATTTCATTTTGTACTTGTTATGGTTTGAAGGAATTTTATAAAGATCGTCCATTGCGTATGTACATGGTCATCGTGTTGCCTAGACATTGCTGACGTTCTTTTTGCAACACAGGGGTTTGGTTGGTTACCTACTGGCTGCAGGAGTTGCTGGAAGGAGGCATGCAAGGCACCATTCAACCGCCTTAGGGACTCCACTCTGCATTTGTGTAGAATTTACTGCTAAGCCTGTTCTTCTAAAGATATCCCACAAGGCAGTGGAGGTTTAGGATTGAGAGTTTTCCTTCTTCTAGATGGGCTCCCTTCCCAGGTGGACAAGCCCCGTCTGCCCCTCACTTCCCTCCACAGCATGTACAGAAACCCCTTTTTAAACGGGCGCGGAAAAGAACACAGCGAAGGAACCTGCCTTCTTGACTCCTGGAACCACACTTGGTCTCATCCAATTATTATTATTATCATTACTATTAAAAGGTAAAGGACCCCTGACCATTAGGTCCAGTTGTGACCGACTCTGGGGTTGTGGCACTCATCTCGCTTTATTGTCCAAGGGAGCCGGCGTACAGCTTCCGGGTCATGTGGCCAGCATGACTAAGCCACTTCTGGCGAACCAGAGCAGCGCACAGAAATGCCGTTTACCTTCCCGCCGGAGCGGTACCTATTTATCTACTTGCACTTTGATGTGCTTCCAAACTGCTAGGTTGGCAGGAGCAGGGACTGAGCAACGGGAGCTCACCCTGTCGCGGGGATTCGAACCGCCGACCTTCTGATTGGCAAGCCCTAGGCTCTGTGGTTTAACCCACAGTGCCACCCGCGTCCCTTTATTATTATTATTATTACCCCTCCCCTAACTCCCCTAACCCCTCCCCTATCTATCCCATTATTATCCCATACACCCCAACTATCTATCTATCTATCTATCTATCTATCTATCTATCTATCTCTCTATCTATCTCTCTATCTCTCTATCTCTCTATCCATCCATCCATGGGTGTAGCCAGGATTTACCATATGTCATTGGGACACCCAACTCATTATTCTTTATCTGGCTTTGTCTAGCAGATTCGGAATGAAATGTCTCCACAACCGTTGTTTCAAATTACTTTCTTTTGACCCCAAGTGCTCAGAAAAATCTGTCAAAACCCTTCTACAATTTCTGCTTTTAGTTAAGTATTTTTATTTATGTACTTGGTTACAGAAGGGGGCTACGCTCATGTGTCTCTTTTACCTTTCCAACGGTACCTCTCCTGGCTGTGCTGGCAGAACAATTTCAAAAGAAGGGTTTGTTTCGGCTTGCATATTTCTTGGGGGGGGGGGAATGTTGATTTGGTCCGTCTCCCTTCAAATGCAAAATGAACCGAGTTTTCCCACCCACTCCACCCCCAACTCACTTGAGCATTTTGATGCCTGCGGGGGTCGTGGGGACACTCAGCCGCCGCATGTATTCGTGCATGTCTGGGAAACTCTTCTTGATATACTCCTCCGCGCTGCTCTCCCAGACAGTCCCAAATCGGAATCCTTGTGACGGATGGTGCAGCTGTCCAAAAGCAAAACAGGGACCATATGGTGGGGTTTTTTTTTAATAGAAGCAAGCAAACTTTAAATCTTAATTTGAGATTCCTGCATTGCATGGGGTTGGGCTAGATGACCCTTGGGGTCCCTCCCAACTCTGAGGTTGTGGTCTGGGAGCAACAACAGCCGGACTACGGCATTAGTTGTATAAATGGCAAGGGCCACTAGGTGGCGCTGTGCAGCAGGCAGTGCCATGCAAGGGCCACTAGGTGGTGCTGTGCAGCAGGCAGTGCCGTGCAAGGGCCACTAGGTGGCGCTGTGCAGCAGGCAGTGCCATGCGAGGGCCACTAGGTGGAGCTGTGCAGCAAGCAGTGCTGTGCAAGGGCCACTAGGTGGCGCTGTGCAGCAGGCAGTGCCGTGCAAGGGCCACTAGGTGGAGCTGTGCAGGTGATGCTGTGCCATGCAAGGGCCACTAGGTGGTGCTGTGCAGCAAGCAGTGCCATGCAAGGCCAGCAGATGGCAGCAGAAGGGCAGTGCTGCACAAGGGCCACTAGGTGGAGCTGTGCAGCAGGCAGAGCCGTGCAAGGGCCACTAGGTGGAGCTGTGAAGGTGATGCTGTGCTGTGCAAGGGCCACTAGGTGGCGCTCTGCAGCAAGCAGTGCCATGCAAGGCCAGCAAATGGCGGCACTCAGAGGTTACCAAACCCTGCACTGACCTTGGGGTCGTGAATCCCAGACAGCTCCTCGAAGGTCTTCTCTCCCACCATCACGGCAGCCAGGTTGGCGGTGTAGCTGGAAAGGACCAAGAGGCAGAAGATGGCCCAGAGGTTCATCAGGAAGCGCCCAGTCCAGCACTTGGGGGTCTTGCTGGAGACAGTTCGCCCAAAGAGGATGGCGTAGCAGAGGTTGAGCGCCGAGGAGTAGGAGAAGATCTTCATGCGGTTGCGCCCGTGGGGGGTCATCCCGTAGGGGCTCTTCCACTCGTAGAGGGTGAGGAACAGGGCAGTCACGTGGAGAGCCACGAAGATGCCCACCCACATCGTCCAATGCAGCGGCCACATGAAGGCCCCAATGGGAGAGGCCGTGTCCCGGATCCTCACCAGAATGCCCAGGCTGGTGGAGAAGAAGGGGCTGGTGAAGTCGATCACTTGGCTGCGGGCCGAGTTGATGCTGAAGGACGTCACTGCCATGTGGGCCGTCCCGCTCAGGAGGTCCCCCACCAGCCCTGTCCAGCGGCCGTTCTTCCAGGCCCCGTACTTCCCGTCCCCCACGATGTAGAGGTCAAAGTCAAAGGGGAGGTCCTCGGCCAACTTCTCCAGGAGGTCAATGCAGTAGCCGTAGCAGCATTTCCTGAACTCGGCAGGGACCGAGCCGTTCTCGGAGTTGAGCTCGTCAAAGAGGGTGTCCAGCACGGCCGAGTCGTTGGTTCGGGGGTCCAGACACAGCTGGCCAGCAGGACAGTTGCCTTCTTCATCCACCTGAATAAACCACAGATTAGTCTCTCTCTCTCTCTCTCCTAGATGTCAGGAGCCAGCCAGCAATAAATCACACTGTGCAAATTGGAGTTAACTCTTTACCAGCAAAAACACGATCTGCACAGACTTGCTGGAGTGTCAGGCCTGATGAGCACAGCAGTTCACCCCCACTAGGTCTTGCCATGGATCAGTTGCCAAGACTGAAAGCCACCCATAGCCATTTAAATCCCCTCCTCTCCAGGGTTTTCCCCAAGCAATTGGAGACTGCGTCTGCGTGCAGCCAACCTCCCCTCTGCACTTTTCATGCCCCTCCTGGTCCTGGGAGACAAGAGGGAGGGGAGCTTCTTGCAGCAGGAGGGGGAGACACCCGTGACTCTTCGCCATCTCTGCCTCCTGGCCTCCCTCCTCTCCTGCTTCAGCTTCTGCCACAGACTCTCCCTGCTCACTAAGCTCAGTTACTCCTTCCGCTTTCGACCCTGTGGCGTTAACTGGTGGAACTCCTTGCTGCAGGGTGTTCCTTATCCCAGAGGGTTTCAAGCTTTTTGAGTCTACGGCTCCCTTGACCAACGACTTTCTTTCTGTGGCACCCCTGTGGGGTTCAGGAGCCCAGTTATGCCCCCCTTGACTGCAGAGCTGGCAGCCTCTCATCCTTTTTTGGATACCCTCCCTTGTTGTGTGTTCCCTCAGCCTCCTCCCCTCTGCCCTCTCCTTGGGAGTCCTCTGTGCAGCCTGGGAAGAGGATGCTCCCAGCCTAAGTGGCTCAACAGAGACTGGCCAAAGGTGAACATGAGGCCAGCACCTTACCTGTTAGAATTCCTGCTCCCTGATTGCAGTCATGGGATTGTTGTCTATCACATGACGGTGTATGTTTTGACTCCACAGAGTGGGAAGTGACGGAGACAGGATGTTTGAGTTCCTGTGTTCCGGGAAGTGGGACTATTGTCCTTTGTTCTTTTTCACTTTGCTGTCTGATGCTAGAGAGAGAGGGAGCCATGTTGCAGTGCTCCGTGTGTGTTTATATGTAAATAAAGTAGATTAGCCAAAATGCTGAGTTGCTGAGGTCTGTCACGCAAACTCTGCGGATCCCTAAGTGTGCCGGTGTCGGTTGGCATCAGTCGCTGTGATGTTCGGGCTGAAGAAAGCTTATGAAGCTCCCAAACGATTAACCAGGAGGGAGAGAACATGCCAGTCGGACACGTGTCTCTGCCAGGGTCCTACTTGAGTATAGGCTGAACTCCTGACATTACCTTGGGAGGCAGCAGTAGGTGCTGCCAGGCCTGCAAGGCGGAAAAGCTCCTCTTCTGAGCGCTGGGCACTCAGCTCCCAGGCAGGCCTTGCACACAGCAAGCACAAGAAAGGCTAGCACAGTGCCTGGCTGCCTGGCTGCCCAGCTGCCCACTTGTTTGTCCATTCCCAACGGGCTGACTGGGCTCCTTCACCCGCTTGCTTGCTTACTCCAAGGCCGCCTCAGCTCCTGGCACCCAGCACCCCCTGGCCAGCCCCAGAGGCACCATTCGCCCGCGGAGCTTGTAGCCAGGGCTGCTGCAACAAACAGCTGTGCAAGCCTTGGGGAGGCAGAGATGCAAGAGGGCATCAGAGCAGGGAGGGAGGGGAAGAGGAATAGAGGACAGTGATGCCCGCTGCACCCCAGGGTGCCACAGAACACGGGTTGAAAACCCCTGCCCTAGCTCAGCAAGGAAGCTTGGCTTAAAATGATGGGGAGAATGGTTATGTAAGCTTTCAGAATATTTTTGTTGTTGTTGTTGTTTAGTCTTTTAGTCGTGTCCGACTTTTTGTGACTCCATGGACCAGAGCACGCCAGGCACTCCTGTCTTCTTCAGAATACTTAGAATTAGCCAAATTGACAGATATAATAAGACAAAAACCAAAAAGTGAAGTGAAAAAGGAATGGGAGTGCCTAAGTGAATACCTTAAAAGCCAAGGTTCGAGGACAGAAATCTGGCTGAGTCTGGAATAACCTTGTGAAGTGAAAGGATAAGAAAGAGGGATTTATATCTGGATGCTAGGATAGAGATGATCAGGAAAACAGGAGGACACAAGGAGAGGTAAAGGAGGTGCTGTGGAATTGGTGGAAGTCAATGTTTGTTTTCCTTTTTAGTGTTTATATTATTAACTTGTAAGATATGGATTTGTTGGTTTTTTGTATGCTGGTTAATGTGTTTTGTGTATTTTTATTTTTCGATATTTTTCATGTTGTTGCTGCTGTGTGGAAAATATTAATAAAATGTATTTTAAAAATTTTGAATTAAAAATAAAATAAAATGATGGCTCTGTCTCCTCGTCCTCGTGGGTTGTCTCATACTCAGAGTAGGTCCGCTGAAATCAATGGGCATGACCAATTTAAGAAAGTGGAGCTCCTCTGAGTCTGACTTGGATGGACATCCTCCTCTGTGAGCGGTTAATGTGCGTTAACAGCCGGTCATTCTGCACATTGACTAGCCTTCCTAGAGAATGTGCACATAACCTGTCCACGGAGAGGGGATTTTGCACATTTCCTGGTCAATGTAGACAATTACCAGCAGGCCTTGGGCAGCATGTGTATCTTGACTGCTTTTTTTCTTTTGGTACATTTCCCAGCCGTTGTGCATAAGGTCCAAGAGGCTGTGAGGAATGTTGCACAATGACTGGCTGTTATGCACATTAACCCACACCTCTTACCTGACGCAAACAAGATTCCTTTTTTTAAAAAAAAAAGCTTTTGAATAAATGCAGACGCTTTCTGGTTCGTACAAACCTCCCTGGTGAAGACGAAAGGGTGCTCTACCAAGGTCACCACGCGCAGTTTCATGCGGCAGAACCCCTCTGCCTGGTTCCTGCGCTGCAGGTGCTGGGGCCACGTCCCCTCCTCCACCTCCATCTCGCCCCCTTTCCAGGTCCCCACCGTCACCCAGGTGGGCTGCCCCACAGAGTCCCTCAGGAGGCTCCAGACTTTGTAGTGGCGATCTGTGTGGACGCGGGACGTGTTGTGCACGAAGACCTCCCCCGTCTGGCCGCGGAAGGACGTGTTGGCTAAAAACCTGGAACCGAGAGAAAGAGGGAGGGAGGGAGAGAGAGAGAGGAAAGCAGGAGGCTGGGTTCCTGGTAAGATACGCTGCACTGGTTGTATATGTAAACTTGTGGAACTACCTGCCACAAGAAAGGGGAGCAGGAGCATGACATTCTAGGTTGGTTGTGCTGCAATAGTTGGATGTTAACTTGTGGAAGTAAAGGTAAAGGTAAAGGTACCCCTGCCCGTACGGACCAGTCTTGACAGACTCTAGGGTTGTGCGCTCATCTCACTCTAGAGGCCGGGAGCCGGCGCTGTCCGAAGACACTTCCGGGTCACGTGGCCAGCGTGACGAAGCTGCTCTGGCGAGCCAGCACCAGCGCAGCACACGGAAACACCATTTACCTTCCCACTATAAAGTGGTCCCTATTTATCTACTTGCACTTAAGGGTGCTTTCGAACTGCTAGGTGGCCAGGAGCTGGGACCGTAGACGGGAGCTCACCCTGCCGCGGGGATTCGAACCGCCAACCATGCGATCGGCAAGCCCTAGGCGCTGAGGATTTACAGTGGTGCCTCGCAAGACGAAATTAATTCGTTCCGCGAGTTTTTTCATCTTGCGGTTTTTTTCGTCTTGCGAAGCACGGTGTCGGAAAAGTTTTGGAAAAGTTTCAAAAATCACCAAAGTCTTTAGAAACCTCAAAAAAGGCTACCACACCGCGTTCTATGAGTTGCTCTTCGAAGTTAAGTCGCAACTGTATTAACGGTTTTAAGAAAAAGGAAACAAACTTGCAAGACGTTTCCGTCTTGCGAAGCAAGCCCATAGGGAAAATCATCTTGCGAAGCAACTCAAAAAACCAAAAACCCTTTCGTTTTGCGAGTTTTCCATCTTGCAAGGCATTCGTCTTGCGAGGTACCACTGTACCCACAGCGCCACCCGCGTCCCAGCTTGTGGAAGTAGCAGAGCCTTAAAACTGTCTCAGGGGTTAACAGGCAGTGAGTGCAAGCCCCTCCTGATGAGGAGCACCCAGGTTCCCAAAGGAGCCTGCGGATCTGGGCCTGCCTCCTACCACTCAGCCTCCATGACTCCATCTCTATTCTGGGCATAATTGGATCAGTCATTCTCTCCCACTGCAGGGATATAGCACAGCTGCCAGTCCTCACAGGCAGCTGCCTGTCGCAACTCTGTATGAGTCAGGGCTTGCCAGACCAGATCACCCAGTCCCTGCAAAGAAGAAATGGAACCACCTGCCCACAGGAGAGGCTGCCTGTTGCATCTCTGGAAGAATCCCCATTCTTAGCCTGTCACATCTCTTGACAGGTCCCTGTTTTGGGCTTGCCTCTATGTCAGGCACCACCCAATCCATGCAGAGGTGAAGCTCAATGACCTGCCCGTTGCACCTCTGGATGAGTGCCCCTTCTCAGTCTGCTGAGAACGGGAACTCGCACTGGCCACAGGTCTTCTAAAATGCTTTTTTGTCCTCCCCCTAGCCACCACAAATTTCTGGGACCCCCGGCTTACTCACTGGGAGAGGTAGCGCCCTGAGGACTCAGAGGCGACGGTGTGCTTGTCGTTGCAGTTCACCATGTTCTGGATGAGGGCAAGGTCCGGGCGGACGTAAACGGCCCTGGAAATGGCCCTCGAAACCAGCTCCACCGCGTCGTGGACAAACTGCTCCAGGGACGGCCTGCCCACCTCCCCGTAGGCTAAGAGCCCCAGGGGCAGCCCTTCCGTCCGAAGCTCGTCCACATTCTGGGGCTGCCCCAGCACCCAGTGGAACTCCTGGAGCACCCCGAGGTCCCTGGCCGTCCGGAAGACCAGCTGGGAGTGGTGGGCATTGCAGCCAAAGAGCAGAGCAGGGCCAGGAAGTTCTCGGTACTCCTCCAAGTGGCGGCGCAGGAGGCGGGCAGCCTCTTTCTCCTCGAGGAAGCTCAGGTCCACCACGGCCGTCCTCTCCAGCTCGGCGTAGCTGCTCCACAGGTCCACAAAGGCAGGGACGTCCCAGGCCTGGCACAGCACCAAGGTGACCTCGCGCCATTTGTTGGAGCGGAATATGTTAGCCAGCAGCTCCAGGAGCGTCTCGAAGTCGTTGCTCCGGTCCATGTGAAGGTGGAAGGGGTTCTGATCCGGAAAGGATGAGAAACAAGGGAGGAGGGTTGAATTATTTGAAGAGCAACTGTAATCAGCAAATTACGCTAGTAGGACTACAAGAAGTTTTGTAAGGAGAAATATACGAAGTGTTACCAAGTAGAAAAAGATAGAGATATTGGTTATGAGTTTGAAATGTACAGTGGTACCTCGGGTTAAGTACTTAATTCGTTCCGGAGGTCCTTTCTTAACCTGAAACTCTTCTTAACCTGAAGCACCACTTTAGCTAATGGGGCCTCCCGCTGCCACCGCTGCGCGATTTCTGTTCTCATCCTGAAGCAAAGTTCTTAACCCGAGGTATTATTTCTGGGTTAGTGGAGGCTGTAACCTGAAGCGTATGTAACCTGAAGCGTCTGTAACCCGAGGTACCACTGTAATAGGGAAGATAAGAAATGCATACTAAGAGATTAGACTGGAAAATTTTCAGACAGGATTGATGGAAGTCAAAACAATTGAATAAGGTGTAAAAGTATGTTTAATTACTTGTGAAAATGATATGTCAAAAAACATATATATATATATATTTGCTTTCGTAGATTTTCACGGGTACAGGAATGCAGGTTTTGGTGTCCTCGGGTGTCTTCCCGTGTAAAAGTTGGGGTGTCTAGGCGACGTTTCGACGAGGTCTCACTCGTCATCTTCAGGCTGGTGCTTTTGGCTTCTTGTTACTGGAACAGAGCAGGATCTCAGTGTTTGAGTTCCTATAAATACTGTTGAGGGGGTGTGGTGTATAGCCTCCAATGTTCTGGGCAGAGAGGAAGTTCCCAGGCTAGTGTGCCTTTTCTTCTTTTGTTCCTTAATTACTTGAGGGATATCTTGAGTGATTTCTTGAGTGATATCCTGAGTACCACTTAGGTGGGTCATTAGGTGTGGATTAGTTGCTAAAGCCTTCGTGTCTTGACCTCTTGAACTTTGTGAAGAGTTTTTCTGAGAAGATGGCTGTATTGCATTTAGTTGTGCTCTGGCTTGGCTTCGTGTATAGGGGCGAGCTGTGGTTTTGTGTCCTGTGCCAGCCAGATCTGTGTAGGGATTGCAGGGGGGTGCAGCATCCGGAGGTGCCACCATGGTTTGGCTACTGGATGGTGTCTGTAATTTATCTGTGGAGAGGGTCTGGGTTTGGGTCTGGTGTGGTTGATTGGTGATGGCGTTCTGTGTGCCTCTGGATCTGGTGTCGGTTTTTGTGGGGAGGGCTAATTTCCAGATGTCTGGCAGGCGGGATGTGTCGTCACGCTTGTTCATGTTGTGAGGGTGTTTCTCTATCTCGATGGCTTCCATGATTATTCTCTTGTGGTGATGTTCCATGTTAGAGAGCAATTTGGAATCTGCAAAATTAATTTCGTGTCCTGTTTCTTTCATGTGTTGGAAAAGAGAGGAAGTTTTTTCTTCTTTTTTGACGGCATTCTTGTGTTCTGCGATACGTGCATTTATTCGTCTGTTTGTTTGTCCAATGTACGTGGCTGGGCAGACTTTGCAGGGTATTTCATAGACCCCTTGGTTTTCCAACTGGATTTTATCCTTGGGGTTTCTGAGGATATTGGCTATTTTTTGGTTGGTGCAAAAGGCTGTTTTGATATTGTGTTTATGGAGGATTTTGCTAATTTTATCTGTAGTGCCCTTGATATAAGGAAGGAGGGCCATGCCATTGTTTTCTTCTGTGTCTTGGTTTTTGGGGGGTGTTTCTTTTTGCATTAGCTTCGTAACCCTGTTTTGTTGGTATCCATTGGCGATTAACACATTGGAGAGATTCTGTAACTCAGTTGTCAAGTGGTCTTTGTCAGCCAGGCGTTTGGTTCTGGAGATGAGAGTCTTGGCTACGGAGTTTATTTGTGCAGGGTGGTGGTGTGATTGTGCATGTAAGTAGCGGTTGGTGTGTGTTTTTTTCCGGTAGATAGTGTGTCCTAGGGAGCCATCAGGTTTTTTGTAGATTAGGACGTCAAGGAAGGGAAGTTGGTTGTTGGCTTCTATTTCCATAGTGAATTGTATTTTGGGGTGTAGGCTGTTGAGATGTGTGAGGAAGCTATCTAGTTTTTCCTTCCCGTGTGGCCAAATTACAAAGGTGTCGTCAACATATCTGAGCCAAAGTTTGGGTTTGTGTTCTGACTTGTCTAAAGCATTGGTTTCAAAGTGTTCCATGTACAGGTTTGCGATGACCGGTGAGAGTGGTGATCCCATAGGTGCTCCTTCTATCTGTTTGTATCTTTGTCCATTGTGGATGAAGTACGTGTTGGTTAGGCAGTGGTTGGTAAGGTCCAGGATGTATTCGGGGGATTGTATTTGTTTTGAATGGCTGTCAAGGCTTCATTAATGGGCACTTGTGTGAAGAAGTAACTAATGAAGCAACTAATCCACACCTAATGACCCACCTAAGTGGTACTCAGGATATCACTCAAGAAATCACTCAAGATATCCCTCCAGTAATTAAGGAACAAAAGAAGAAAAGGCACACTAGCCTGGGAACTTCCTCTCTGCCCAGAACATTGGAGGCTATACACCACACCCCCTCAACAGTATTTATAGGAACTCAAACACTGAGATCCTGCTCTGTTCCAGTAACAAGAAGCCGAAAGCACCAGCCTGAAGATGACGAGTGAGACCTCGTCGAAACGTCGCCTAGACACCCCAACTTTTACACGGGAAGACACCCGAGGACACCAAAACCTGCATATATATATATATATATATATATATGAGAAACAAGGGGGGCCTGCAGGGAAGAGAGTTATTTGTTGATTTCTTTACACAGCCACAGCAACACAAATATTATGCACACAAAAATGGCACAAGGAGGTGGTACCTGCGAAAGAAGAATGACAGCCGGAATATGCAGAACTGGCAACTTTTGACGTGCAAAATTAGAGATCAGAAAGAGGTTTTAAAGAAGGTTGGAAAATGTTTGCAGAATACTTAAAAGCGCCGTGTAAAAATGTTAGAATGCAAATAGGATTTGAGTGAGAACAGCAGCGGGGGTGGACTTTTTGTTTGTACAGTGAAATTAGGTGAAGGTCTAGAGTTACTATGACATTGAAGCATAAATTGAATTTTTGAGGGAACCATGGAGGGAGGGAGGGGAAGTCACAGGTGGAATGACTGATTGCTAAATTTGAAATGTTGTTGAATTGTTTATTTAAAATTAAAAAAAATAAAAGTCTGCTGCTGTGATCGCAGCTGGCAACAACACAGGAGAGGGTGGTATTTGTCTCACGGCACCAGTAAGGAATTTGGTTTTATTATTATTATTTACTATGCATAAAATTTGTATACTGCCTTTCGTCCATAGATCTTGGGGTGGTTTGCAACAGAAAATTACAAGATAAAAAAAAGCAAAATGCATAATAAAAAATGAACCCAAAATCCCACCTCCCACTTAAGGGGCGATTCTATGGCAAGATCTGCAGGGATCTAGCTTAGGATTCAGTGGATCTCCAGCTCAGCTGGCTGATTCCTGTTTGGCCAGCTGTAAACCCCCAATCCCGGGACAGTCAAATATATACAGGCATAATTTGTTCACCCTGGGCCAGAGAGCGGGGACTTAGACTGGATCTTAAGCCTGTTCAGTTCTGTTCTGGCAACCCAGCATGGAACACTAAAAAAAATTAAAATTGTGATTAAAATTGTACAACCTGATTAATATTCTACAGGCTGATTAATATTCTACAGCCTTTTTAATGTGTCTACAGGAAGAGGGGGGTTACTGTTTTGCTGTTTTGTTTCAATTATTTACTTGTTTTTATCCTGTATTTTATTCCGCCCTGATGATAAGGGTGGTATAAAAATCTAATAAATGAATAAATACTAACTCCATCATGCATTAATTAGACTTAAGCATGTTGGTTATATGAGGCTGTCTATTCTTACAGCTATCTCATAGGTTTTTATTACACACACACACACACACACACACACACACACAATTCAACAATTCAACATCATTTCAAGTTTAGCAATCAATCATTCCACCTGCGGCTTCCCGTCCCACCCTCCAGGGTTCCCCAGAATTTCAATTTATGCTGCATGTTATAGTTACTATAGACCAGGCATAGGCAAACTCTGCCCTCCAGATGTTTTGGGACTACAACTCCCATCATCCCTAGCTAACAGGACCGGTGGTCAGGGATGATGGGAATTGTAGTCCCAAAACATCTGGAGGGCCGAGTTGTCCTATGCCTGCTATAGACCTTGCCCTTACCACAAAAGAAAAATGGAAAGTTCACCCCCGCTGCTGTTCTCCCTCAAACTCTACTTGCATTTTAACATATTTTACACTGAGTTTTTAAGTATTCTGCAAACATTTTCCTGTCACCTTTAAAAACCGGTCTCTTTCTTATCTCTAATTTTGCACGTCAAACTTGCCCATTCTAAATGTTCTATCCATTTCAGCTGCCATTCTTCTTTGGTGGCTGGGACAACCCAGTCAGATGAGTGGCTAATAATAATAATAATAATAATAATAATAATAATAATATATAGGTGAGCCCCCAGCTGGAAGCAGAGCAAAGAGGCAGGCGGCCACTAGAGGTCAGCAGAGTTTAAGCTCACCTGTGCCAGAGATGGAAAAGAGAGGTGGGCTTTTAGGAGGGTGGGGTGTTTGAAATCCCCCTCCTCTCATCGGGAAAGGAGGGGTGCCTTGCAGAATCACGAATGTGGGCAAAAGGTTGCTGGACCAGGTGGCTCTTTACGTCTGAAGATCCCTTCTGGATCAAGCCCCATCTAGTCCAGCGTCCTGTTCTCACAGTGGCTGCAAGCGAGATTCGAACACAAGACCAACTCTCTCCCTTCCTGCCATTTACAGCAACTGGAGTTCAGAGGCATCACTGCATAGCCATCCTGGCTAGCAGCCACAGGTAGCCCTCTCCTCAGTCGGTAGAGGAAGAGACTCAGGGTTGCGGGTTCAAGGCCCACATAGGGCAAATTATCCCTGCATTGCAAGGGGGTTGGAGATGACCCCCATGTCCCTTCCAGCTCTAGGATTCTAT